CGTCAGTAGAATGTGTTGTAGTTAAAAAAATTATCAAAACACACAATGTTTGTCGTTTATTGTGTATGCACGCGTATAATCTTAAACGTTGTTTTGGATTTAAGACAACTTAATGACTACAAGTTGCTACAATTTAAAAATACTTCAAATTATTTTCAACAACAAGGCGCATCAAAAATTGACAGGCAATAAATTAAATCTTATTATGGAAAATAAAAAATCAAAACAAATTCGAATTTGCTCTCTAAAGCTTAACGAAGCGAATGCAAGCTTGTATTAAAGTGAAAGCAATTTCTTTTTAAAGCAGGCTTTTTACGCGATTATAAGATAATGTAAACTATTAAAAAAATGCAAGTAGAATTACAAGTAAACAATTTAATATTTTAATGCATTTTGTAAACGTAAAAATTTATTTCAATTTCCAAATTAAAGATACGTACAAGTAAATAGCACGTATTTACACATATCATATGTACATACGTAAGTATTATATGTATATGTGTGTAAGTATAAGTATTTAGTGCATAAAATCTCTTTTAAATGCAGAAAAAAAAAAAAAAACTATAACGATTTCATTAAATGACCGCGAAAAGTAAAACTGAAAAAATTATCTCAGCTAAATTTTTATTAATTTCGCAAAAAAATTTGATAATTACAAAAAGTCGATAATGTTTTAATTAACAAACGTGTGTATTGTATATATACACACCATAAATGAACACGATTTAAAAGCCATGTGACAAAATCTTGAAATATGTGCGGAATAAATTGTACAAATAATATGAAAATGTTCACTAATATGAAAAAACAACTGAAGTCCATAAAATGACTGAAAACAAAATACTACAAAAACCTCTTAGGTTGTAAGGAAATAAAAGGAAATTAAATAACTGTAAAAGAAATAGTGATTGAGGGTTTTCTACAAGGAATAATATAAACTTTTTACGAATTTTTTTGTAATGATAATCGGGAAAATCGGGTTATACTGGTATTTATAGTATAGTAACAATGTAATGTTTTCTAATTTCGGATAATTACAACCAAGAAATAATTTCTTATAGTAGAATTGTGTTGTAGAATTTTTTAACAATTTTACTTTATTACCTCTGCATAGCAAAAACCAAATCAAAATCTCTGAGAAAATAAAACAGATCAAAAGTCGTAATCTATTTTATAGACAGCAAAACAGAACAAAGATTGTGAATAGAACAAACGACAATCACTAACGTTACCCAATTTTTATGTGGTAATACATACAACAGCGTGTTACAACAACTAGCCATGTTTTAAGCTTATAACACTTAGAATATATTTCAAATTTTCTATTACACATAATAAAGGCATGTGTACTCTTCTTCAACCACAAATACTCTAGGGTTAAATGTAACTACATAAAATATCCGTTCGTGTGTGTTGTTCAATTGTCACAATGATAACTTAAAAATATGTTTGAGTTTGACATAAAAGCCTTATTCGACTAACTGCTGCTGCGTTACAATAATTCAGTTTTTTAGTAATAAGGTGGCTATTACAATAAAATTTTATTCCTTAGTGAATTTAGTGAATGAAAATAATATATTTGAGGTTGTACCTTTAGAGTATTGGTTCGCGTATCACACAGTTGGCACTGCTAAACTAAATAAATCATTACTTCTGCACAAAACCGTGTATTGCTATTTGCATTACAATTTACAATTGATATAAAATTAAATATTGATTTTTATAAATTTTTGTAAGTTTTCCTACATACCTTTATGTTTCCACTTTAAGCAAACTTTATTTTTATTTCAAAATTTGGAATTTTCTGCCAAACAAAATTTTAATGTAACAAAGTAACTCTCACTCTTATTATTACATTCGAGCAAAATTTTATGCGTTCAAATTTACATTTTTTAATTTGCATTGATTTGTGATAAAATTATATGGCCATGGATGAGTAAACGATGGTTTTCTATAAACTAATCAATAATTTCCAAATAATTAGTTTTACAAAAGTGTACTTTATCAACTGGATGTTAACAATAAGTAGAATACTTCATATTCAAAGTTTAAGAAATACCACTTTATCATTATTGAATCTGAATTCAAAAATTGTACAATAAATTCAACAAAATTTTTTTTAATAAAATTATTAAAAAAGCAACGTAACAAAGTAACTGTATAAAAATATTACCGTATTTATTTAATTTTTTTTTTACGTTTGACAGAACTAGTTTTGGAGTGGTTATTTGCATATAGCAAAAATCGAATCCAATTATTATTGTGGATAATCAAAACTATAACTATAATCAAAAAGACATTGTTGTTTTCTCAAACAACTTTTTATCGTACATTGTATATTATGTATTAGACTAGTTGCAATTATGTACAATTTACGATTAAAGTTGCATAGTTTTTAAACAAATAATAAATTGTTAAATTAGCAAAAGAAAAAAGTACTTTTCAAAACATGCTGGAGTATACATAACTGTAGCAATCTAGTATACTAACAATAAATAACGAGCGCATAATATAGACGAAATTTATTGCCACCCTATAAAATCTATGTAAAACTCACACTCGTTTTTAGATATACATCATTCTGAACTTTTAAGTAGCGTTTTGGCGAATTAAGTGATAACCTTAACCAACGATAACCTCGTTTTCTTTAGAATCAAACCGCAACAACTATCTTGCAAATAAAACGTAAAATTAGCAAAGTTGCAAACCAAAAACAGCAAATTCTTGTTTTTTAAGATTTCTGAAATTACTTTGAACTTTCTTGATTTGTTGGGACGTTGGGACGAGTTGGTTCCATAGAATTGTCAAAAGCAAATTATGTGACAATAACTAATGACGTCTAATAAATGTTAAAAATAAAGACCTAAAATGCGAACTGTTTTATTAGCGTGGCTAAATGGATGTCACCGAAGGTAACCAAAGCAAAGTGAGGAAAATAATCATAGACTCAATGAGAATTTCATTTACTTACTCTATTTACTTTGTGCATTTGATTACTGTCAAAAAACAAAGTAAGTAAGAAAATTATTGGACCTTCATATATAACCTTACAATTCTACATGAGAATCTGTTTAGGTGAACTTCGACGTATAAACGTTCAGACTTAAAATAATAACGTACATATCGTGCACGATTTTTGGTTAGATCCTTGGTAACGTGTTCGTTGCACCAAGTAAATTGATGATAAATAAAATTATTATTTATTTTTTTTTTCATTTATCTTTATGTATCCAAATTTAAAAAAAAAGTAAAACCTAAAATGATCAAAAAATGGTCGTGGACAAATGATCCAAGCCAGTCGACTATTTGTTCTAAGATACCACAACACATTCACGTATGACTTACATTTATTAGGTACAGTTTTTGACAACACTATAAATTAAATTAGATGAGTTAACCATTTAATAAATTTTTGTCTGATTCCAACAGCACGATATGGAAGTCAGGCGGAAATTTGGCATCATTTAACGATAAATGTGCCACATTTTGACGATATATGAATATGTTTAGTTGTTTCATCTTCCTAACAACAAAATCTGTTCCGTATTCAATCTAAACTTTTACAAATTGTAGCTCAACTTGAATTGCCTATCCCAGTATTATTTTTAGAGGCCCCACAATATTAATCTTTTTTCGATTTTCTCATTAATATATTCCACTGACATGAAATTATGTTATAGACATTTGTAAAACTAGAAATTTCAGGTTCAATAATTTTATTATATAAAAGTATACTAGTGAGATAATATTGATCCAAAAATTTAGTATATTTAGTGAAAATTGAATAAATCTCATGTGAAAGCATTATGAATGTTACGATCTTAAATAACAAGAATATATGTATATGTAGGTTGTTAAGATATTTAAGAAAAAAGAATAATTTGTAGTAAGATTACTAAATAAGTAAATTGTTTTAGTAGTTTAAATTTAATTGCAATTATCAAAAATGTTGCAAAAACTCTTTGTACGTTGTTAGCACGCATTATCAAAATTTATTAAATATATGCGTACCTATACATTGTCGGAAATATAAACTTTTACCGTAATTCAATAATAAAATTTAATTTTAACAATTCAATAATCGAAAATTTATTCAATTATACGCTACAATTGTATTACATAAAAAAACAAAAATTTTATTTAATTGATCTACTTTCATTTTTCCCCAAAAAATATTATCAGAACGAAATAAATTTTTTTTTTTTGGTTTGAAAAAAATAAATACGTTTCCGTTTTTTAATGGTCAAATGATTTTGTGAGAAGTTATGTTATTTCTCATATATTAACATACACTGCGTATACATATAATTACTTACTTTAAAATTCATGAATAACAATTGAAATGATTGCATTTCCGGCAGTAATCGTTTTTTTTTTTATTTTACATAATTATTAAATCGATACCATGTACATATACAGTATACACACATGTACATTCAGATAAATCATTCGCATCATTCACGACATAAGTAAAAATTTAATTATAAAAATTTTCCAGAAATTATAGATTTGTAAGTTGTAATATTGTATAAAAATGAATGTATGTATGTATGCTGCACATGCTCAAACTATATTTTTAATATTAAAATGTTCTTATTTGAAAAATAAGTAAAAAATTCACCTGAAATCATCACCTTGCAAACTAAGCAATTATTTTACTTTTAATAACAACAAAGACTCAATTATTGTTATATTTAAAAATTAAGAGGAAAAACTGCTAAGTTAACCATTTTTATTAAATGAAATAATTAAAAGAAAACATTTTTGATTTCATTTGTATTTGAAGAATAAAAAAGAAAAACCACGGAATATACTTTAAAACATACAATATATACAAGCATATACATATAACTATATACATACATATATACGTACATTTTATTTGAATTTCAAATTTTAAATTTTTTTTTTTTTTATTTTTATTTTTATTTTATTATCTTTCTCTTATTTATTATTCTGTATTTTTATGTCTCTTTTTTTTTATTTTCGTTCAATTTCAGCGAACAAGAAAGCCAAATTATTAAACGGATCTTCAGTCGGTCACAATCAACAGAAGCAGCAACAGCAGCAGCAGCAACAGCAACGTCTTAAACAAAATATTAATAATAATAATTCAGTTTCCGAATTATATTCAACACATCATTTTCAAAATCAAACACAACAACAACATCAAAACAAGCAACAACAGAAACAACACCAACAACAGCAAAATAATAATTCCATCAATAACAACAATAATAATTCATCTTCATCTGGTAATAATAGTGGTAGCGATGGTGATTATCAACAATCAAATTATTCACATTTAGGTTATGAACGTCCTTGTTCACGTCCCGGTGGACCAAATTTAGTTAACAAACAATTAGTTTTACCATTTGTACCACCAAGTTTTCCAAATAAATCACCAGATGGTGTTACACATTTAATAAAACCATCAGAATATTTAAAAAGTATTAGTGATAAAAGATCTTGCACATCATCTGCAAGGTAAATTTCTTAATTTTTTTTAATAATTTAATTAAATATTAATTATAGGAATTGAAATTTATTTATTGAAAGTGAAAGCTTAAATTAAATTTCATATTATGAGTGCTTTTAATAATTCGATATAAAAAGTGAGAAAATTTTCTTATACATTTTTTACTTAATAAAATCAGAAATGCGAATTTGTAATTTATTTTGATAATTGGGCCGGAAAAGTAAAAAAAAAAAATAATAAAAAGCAATGACCAACTTAAAAATATAAGAAAATAGAATTTAATAAATATTTTAAATTTTTTGGAAAATTTTGTTAATGCGTCTCACAACACAGTATTTATGGCGACTAAAGGATTGTATAAAATTGAAAAAAAAATATGAAATTAATAGCTAGTTAATGTTTTTGAAAACGCTGACCGAGTATAATTTCATTAATGATAAAATATATACTTAATGAAATTATAGAATAAAAATTTGAATCGTAGGATTTAAAATAAAATCGAGAGAAGTAGTTGAAACTACAATATTTTATTGCTAATGCCCATATTTACAAAAATTAGTACGCAAATGCTAATTGCGGGAACAGCAGCAATAGTAAGAAATTAACAATTTTTAGTAAATTTTCGGAAAAAAACAAGTTTTTAACTCTTAAACGCTAAAATTTTAAAATTTTCAATAACCACAATTGTTTTCTAGAGAATTATATAAATTTTTTTGTAAAGAAAAGGCCTTTAGAAACTTGAACGTTGAATTTATTTTAGACTTATTGGAAATAACAAATCTTAAATAATTTAATACAATAACACGATTAGGAAAAAATTGTATCAACAGACTAACTAAACTTTCTTTCCAATATTTTTCTTAAAACTCTCAAAAGTAATATTAGGATAAACATTAGGATTCGAAAAAATTTTACAATTTGAATAACGCATTAAGGGTAAACCGAATTCGAATAACTAAACGAAACATAACACATATATGCATATATAAATCATATTGCATATACATACAAATGACATTATAAAATGAAATTTTCAACAATTAAAAATTCACTTTTTTATCGTTGTATAGATCTACCGACACAGAAGAGTACATGCAAATTTCAATTCATCATCACCACATTCATCAAAATTCCAGTGGCGGAGCAGAAATTCCAAAACCGCCACCGCCACCACCATTACCAATCCCTCCTATTCATGGTAATGAAAATTCAAGTCGTGGAATTCCTCCGCCTCCACCGCCCATACAAGATACTGTAACACGGAAACAACATCAACCTTTATCAGCTATCTCTATACAAGATCTAAATAGTGTACAGGTAAGTAATAAGTTTATTTGTACTACCAAAATAAAATATATACATCATGAATCGGCCTAAAATTTATAGATTCTTTTTAAACAAACACAGATGTCTGTATTAAACACCCAATTAGTTATCTAAATGAATATTAAATTAATCATCGATTTATTACAAATTGTAGCTTCGTCGAACAGAAACAAAAATGCTTTCAAAAACATTTTCGGCACCAACTCGAAGCATCAGTATGCAATGTTTGTCCACTACAAATGATGCATTTCTAAAAACGGATTTAATTGCTGAGCTTAAAATGTCGAAAGATATTCCAGGTATTAAAAAATTAAAAGTTGAAAAAGCAAAGCAAGCTGAAAGAGAGCATTACACAGAATTATCTAAACAATTCACGGCTAGTAAATTTGTTGACCAGGTGAGTTTCACAGTTTGTATAAGAATTGTGTAAATGTTAGAATGTTTTTTTTTGTCTCTTTTCGTTTGATTTTTTTTTTTTTTTGATTTTTGAAACAACAAAACAAAAGATTCAATTTCAGATACCCGATAAGGATCAAGCGGGTAATATAATACCTGATTGGAAGAGACAGATGTTAGCTAAAAAGGCAGCTGAACGAGCCAAAAAAGAATTCGAAGAAAGAATGGCCATTGAAGCGGAAAACCGTCGACTTTCCCAAATACCACAATGGAAACGAGACTTATTGGCTAGAAGAGAAGAAGCTGAAAATAAATTAAAGTAAGAATTTTCATAAAGTCATAACAGTCATTTTTATGGTTTAGCCACTTTACTTAGTAAATCTAGAAAATATAAGAAACAAATATAATTGAATCTAAAACATGGTCCGAATTTTATCTTGATTTCAACTGAATTTTGATTAAATTATTTTATTCTTTACGATAATTTAAAATTATTACATAATATGTGAAACAAATAAATTATTATTAGTAAATTGTCACATAATAATTTTTAGGGCCACTATCTATACACCCCGAGTTGAAGAATCTTCAAGAATAACCGATACTTGGCGTCTTAAAAATACTCAACGTGCAGTCTCTATTGACAATATTAATTTTTCATGTTCAACAACCATTACAACAATGAATTCGAATGGAGTAATTGGAAATTCAGATAATTCAGAAAAAATTGAAATCAACAATAATAGCAATGCTAATCAATCCACAGATTATAATAGTAATGATAACAACGATAATAAAAATAATCAACACAATAATAATAACACTAATAATAATAATAGTAATTATAATAGTAATAACGTTAACAATTGTAGTAACATAAATACTGAAAATGATGAAAATGAAAATATAATTCCTTGGCGAGCTCAACTTAGAAAAACGAATAGTAGATTAAGTCTAATTGGTTAATCAATATAATGTACATTAATATTATATACTTACATATATATATATACATATATATGAATAATTATTATAAACATTGCAATAACTATTTAACTAACCCTTTCAATTGGTATTAAAAACAAAAAGGCAATCAAAATTTTATTAAAAATATTATTGACGAAAACTTATTTTCTTAACATTTAAACTAATTATTTGAATAATATGAGCAATGAATAATTATTATAATTTTGTATATTTGATAGATTTAATGACTATACATATTTGTATGTATGTATGAACTTTAAAAATAAAAATATTTTTCTAATTCCAATGTCATTTTTAATATCGTTGTATGATTTTTCACCAATGATTTTATTTAAATAAAAATATAAAAATTCAATTCTTATGTAAGTTTTTTTTTTTTGTTTTTTTTTGTTATTTTCATAATTATATAATAAAATTATATTGTAAATTTTATAAGTAGTGTTATACTAATCAACATTTTTGTCAAATTTATAAATAAAAAATGATGTAGTTAAATGGACTTACACCCAGCGCAGAAAAAACCCTCGCACTTAATTTTTTTTCGAAATTCTGTATTTAATTAATTTTCATACTAAAGTGGTCTCACTCAATTAAATATTGAGTTTTGTTTTTTACTTTGGTGTCTTCCCTTAATGTAAGGAACAGTTACTTTTTTGTTTATCGTTTAAAGTTATGTGGTTTTTAATAAGAAGTTCAAGTTTCATACAAAAAATAAGTTAAAAATATGGTGTTATCTCTCGAACAAAAAGCTAAAATCTTAGCGCTACATGAGAATGGTGTATCAAATAGACAAATTGCGATAAAATTAGGGACAAACGAATGGAGTATAAGAAATTTTTTAAAAAATTATATTATTTCTGGCTCTTTGGAGCGAAAAACTGGAAGTGGAAGGCCGAAGCTTCTTAATGAAAGGGATGAAAGACTTTTGAAACGAATATCACTTCGAAATCGATTTTTAAATGCGGGCCAAGTTAGAAAGATATTTCAAAAGCAAACTGGAAAGCGAATTTCAATACGAACAATGCAAATTGAGTTGAATAAGTTAGGAATGGAAGCCCGAAAGCCAGCTAAAAAGCCCCTTTTGTCGAAGAAAATGAAGTCGCAGCGTTTGGAATGGGCAAATACCTATAAAAACTGGACTGTGGAAGACTGGGGAAAAGTGATTTTTTCTGACGAGTCTAAATTCAACTTGATTGGACCTGATGGATCGCTCACAGTTCGGCGTAGAACAGGAGAACGATATTCACAAAATTGCGTTTTGCCAACAATGAAGTTTTCACCCTATATAATGGTTTGGGGGGCCATTACAAGGTATGGTGTTGGAAGGCTAATTCTTCTGGAAGGTGTAGTAAAGCTCAGGAGTACATAAAAATTATCATTGAAGGTGTAGTTCCGACAATTGAGCAACTTTCTGAATATACTCAAAATGTAATTTTTCAAGATGATTCTGCGCCATGCCATAGAGCTAAAACGGTGAGAATTTCTCTTGTGATTTCAAAATTTTTGTATTTTAAATTAATTTTATGGTTTTCTATTTCTTTTAGGTTCGAAACTGCAAGACTGATTTAGGGATTTCGTCACTTCCTTGGCCTGGAAACAGTCCAGACCTAAATCCCATTGAGAATTGCTGGAGTATGATGGGTAAAAAAATCCGGGCTGAACGGCCACAATCTCTAGTGAAGATGAAAAACATCATCGAGAAGGTTTGGTATGAGGAAATAAACGTCGAATATCTTGAAAGTTTGTATTTTTCAATGGCTCGAAGGGTTGAAGCTGTCGTTAAAGCAAGAGGTTTTTCAACCAAGTACTAAATGTTAATTACCATTGTTATACCTTCTATTATTAATTTTTTTGTTTTTATTAATCTACTAGTTACTTGCAATTTCAATAATAATGTATAATTTTTTAGTTAAACTTAAGATATTGTGAATGAATGAATATTTTAAGACCTTGATTTTTAAGTTTAAATTTTGATTTTTTTCTATATTATGACCATTGGGTTTAAAACTTTTAAATTCCTGGATATGCATTTATTTTTTTCGTATTAAATTTTATTTAAAATTGTTAAAAATATAATATATTGAAAAAATTTGAACCAAATTTTTGTGTTTATTTGATTTAAATACCGTATTTTAAAAGAATTTATTAAAAGAGTACCGTGCGAGGGTTTTTTCTGCGCTGGGTGTAAGTGCAATTTAAATATAAAATGGAAGATTAAAAATTTATTTAATTTTTTTTTTTAATTTTGTTTTTTTGTTGTCTTATATAAACAGATTTAATTTTTTTTTTATTTTAAATTTGGCAATAATTATTTTATTTTTGAAATTTATGTTTTGTATATTATTCTTAATGAAAAAAATTTAAACAATTGAAAAATAAATTTATGTATTTAAAAAAAATAAAATAAAATATGCAAATTTACACAATATTATATTATATACATAAATGTAGATAAATTATATAATATTATGTAATTATTCAATAAATTAAAGGAATATTTTTGAATTATTTTACACTACAAAACTAAGCTGAATGTCTTCACGTTTCCTTATGTCCTTAAAGCAATTTTTAAAAAAATGACATTAATAATTTAAAATACGAAGTTAATCGCTTACAATTTAATTTCAAAAGCCATTTTGTCATTGTACAATATTTTCTTACCTGATTTCGCAGTAGATTGGTAAAAGAAACCAGACGCTATTTCTCTGCCTTTTGCAAAATTTGTAAAATTTAAAAAATGTCTGTCGTGTCGAGGTAATTGTTAAAAAACGACATTTTTAAGACTATCATGTCAATAACTTAAAGAAAGAAGTTAGGTGTTGTTAAGAAACCAATCTCTCCTATAGACATAGATTTCTCAATAATACACAAAAACGTATAAAATTTATTTTTCTGTATATACGCAAATTTTTTAAAAAGCACAATTTTGTAGGGAATGTGTTAAAAAACAAGTTGAAGACTAAAATATCTATAGGTATTTAAAAGGCATTTGAGATATGTACGCTTATAACACAAATTTTGAGTGCAGCAGCATAAAAAGGAATATATACCTTAAGAGTACGTTATGAATGATATTTATAAATATTCTGCTAAAAATTATAGTATTTACCGTAAATATTTTGATTTATTTTCCTGGACAGACGTACACAACTTTAAAAAAGAAAAAATAAAATATGTAATAACTTGCCCTTAATTTATACCTATACGAAAATCATAGTTTTTACCGAAGCTTCATCATTTCCTCATAACTTAAAAATTTTTTAGCTTTAAATGTACGCTGTAAATAAAACAAATTGTTTGTATTCATATTTAATTTTTTACTTAAATTATTTGTTCGGCATAGGTATATACAGGGTGTCTAAGTAGTTCTAAGAAAATTAGTATTTTTGCAAATACTAATTTTCTCGTTATAATTCTTGTTTTTTTTTTCAATTTGGTTTCACTGTTTGCATTCGTACCTGTTAATTGTGTCTTTATTTTTTGTTAGCCTAGAAATGAATCGCGATAACAAGCGCATTACTATTACAGAATTACACACGTCATGTATGAAGACCTCTGATATTGTAAGGACGACTGGTTACAAAAAAATGACTATCTATGATGCCATAAAAGATAACCAAGAGTTGGAGAGTACGTCGGAACATCCCCGTAGCGGCCGTCCTGTCACTATATGATTGAACTTTATTATGAAATTACCATCGAACAGTGCGCCACCATTATGAATGTATTACTGCAAATTTTGAGCATTTGTTGTAAATATTTTATTGAATATTGTTTTTAGTACTCTAATAAACGTGTCTTATCAGTTAATAATGTTAATTTCTTAATCCAAGTAGCAGTTCTAAGCTGTAAAAATATTTAAAAAAAAGTACGGGAACTTTTTGGACGCCCTGTATGTATATTATGCAAGTAGGTAGTTACTATTTTTTTCAGTATTTGAATTATTTTGGGTATACCCAACACTAATAATACTGTATCAGTTAATGCTGATATTTTCAACATTAAAAATTTAAAAAATTCCAAAATTTCAGCATCTAGAATTTGAATTTTATTTTACGTAATTTTCATTAAATTCCTTTTATATACTTATGCATTTAGTTTTATATAATAAAGAACGTACACACATTTCGACTTGAAATTTTCGGCTTAAACGCAAAAGAAACTTAAAAGAATTTTTACCACATTTGAAGTATGTATCCTATTGCTAAAAAAGGCATAAATTTTTGGAAAAAATTTTAATATCTAAGAAGTTATGTAAGTATTACAACATTGTGTAAGTGTTGGAGTTCTTGCCAGTCAGAAATTAAAAGCATTAAAAAGAAATACAAATGTTTTCTTTTTGTTAAATTTTACAATCTGATGAAAGCAATTGATATTTACCATAATTTTAAAAATTGATTTAAATTTTGAGTTAAAACTTCATGAAATCTTAATCTTGATAAATAGTTGAATTCCGCCAATATTTCTCTTCAAAGGAAAATTTATTTTTTAATATTGAAATAAGTTACAAAAGATTCAGCTTAGTGTCTTTTTTTGTAAAATATTTTTTCATCCTTAAAGGTCGTTAAAATTTTTTCTACAACTATAACTGCTTAAATTCATAATATACAGGGAGTTCGGGACTCAATGGTATCCCCGAATCAGGGTGATAGAATACATGCAGACGAACGAGAAACACCTAGTGATGTTTTTCTTTTAAAGCCTTTGTTCTCGAGTTATGGGGCCTCAAAGTTGGAACATGCAAAAACCGTCTTATTTTTACATTTTTCGATCATGCTACTAATTAAACTATGTAAGTTATTTTGTTTTAAAAAATAAATACAATTAATCCCTTATTTAAAGTTGTTTTTGAAACCGAAAATTTACGACTTTAATACCCTTATTATGATCGGCGAAGCGAATGGCTAGGCGAGTTGAATGGACTAAGCGAATCGAATGACATTTTAAAATATGATCGGCGAATTCTTCATTCTCCAGATCCAAAATGTTGCTACCGCAAGACATCAGAAAACCTAACGAAAATAATAAGGTTAACACCACACATATTTACATTGTTTTTGTGTTTCTGCAAAAACAATTGAATTTTCTTTCCTATTTAGCAATGTCGGGGTTGTTGTCCATTAATTTTTTTAAATGCTTAGTATTGTTTTTGGTTCGTTTTTTTCACGCTTAAATTAGTATTAAACAATCAATATTTTTTACAATAATTTGCAGAATTTTATGAACTTGCTTTACAGATAGTTTAGATTTTCCATTACATCACTATAAATACTGTAATATCCAATAAAAAAAAACACTTACATACTTATGTATTATTTTGATTTTTGGTTTTATTCGCCAAGCTTGTCACACAGAATTTTCATTCGAAAGATTAGAATGCTCATTCGCCTAAAATTTAGGCAAATTCGCTAATCATAATACCAAAAATTTCATTTCCTTGGCCGATCAAAATAAGGGGCTAAGTGAAGTGACTCAAAGCAACATTCATTTCATAACGAAATTTTATAAAAGAAATTTCTCTTCAATTTTGAGTTATTTCTTTAAAAAAAAACAGAATTTTAACAAGGTTTAAACTAAAGTGAAAACTATGTATATATGTATATTTAACTAATAGATATTGAACGCAAAAATTATTATTAAATTACATATTGAACGTAATATGTATTAAGTATGTACATATGTATGTATGTATGAGTAATCATAACTCAAAAGTGATTTCGTAATTTTTCGTAACTAGTATTTGCTGAAAAATATAATGATGGCACGAATTTGAGTACACGATTGCAGAATTGAATATGTACAGTTTCCCAACATTCGTGTTACATACGGCTATATAACAATACTTTGCACTGTGACTCGTCTCTACTTTAAAATGAAAAATAATTCAATAAATTGTGAATGTGATACCTCCATTTTGTGCGTCTAAATTATACATAATCGTTTCGCTCTTTCCTGAAATTTTAGTTTGCATGATAGTTGATGGTTGTCTAATCAACGCGCTTGATAATAGGGGTTTTTCATCGATTCAGTTGTAACTTAGGGGATTTTCGTCTATTCACGCTTTTTTTTTTTACGCAGTCTACAAATTCTGAAACTTCTAAATACATAATCAGTCGTTCGAAATTAACAGGAATGATATTGTTTATGAAATTGAAGTATTGGTATACAATTTAGTCTTCCAATTCACTGCAAAACAACGAAATTTTAAAAATATTTAAAAACTAAAAGAAAACTTACTTTAATAACCCTTCAATATTTGAATCTGCCATTTTTTAACAAAGAAATTTTTAATTGGTCACTTTACACCTACATGCTTAAAAAATTAAAACAAAAAATTTTTTTTTTGTTGGGCAAATAAAACTATTTACCCTTTTGTTTATTAAGATCTACAAGATTACATACCATATAGATTAAGTAATTTATATCTAATTATGAAATTGTATTTCTTCGAGTTTTGTTTAAAGAAAAAAAAAATGAAATTTATAAAAATTAAATTCATTTTTTTCTATTTAAATTAGAACAGAAAAATAATAGAAAGGATGTCAAAATTTTATTGAAGTAAAATCAAATTATAATAATTTTAAATCAATATTAAATATGAAAAATTAATGTTTTTAGAAAAGAACACGTTGATAATTTTTATAACAAACAAAAAATTTAAACCTAAATCAGAAGAGAATTGTACAAAAATGAATTATCGTTTTCCGATCTACATCTAGATTTTTTTTTACTTTTTATATTTTTTTTATTTTTTTTTTTATTTTTTATGCTTTCTTTTTTTTAAATTATAATTTAACTTGTTTCCTTATAATTCTTTCATTAATTATGTGATTTTTCTTTGTAAATATAAAAATAAAAATTGTTAGCATATTCTATTAATGATGTTTAATTAAATGCCTTAAAAAGAATTTACTAGAATATGCCCATATTGAGAAAAGAATTTTGTTTAAAATTATTAAATCTAATGAATATAGAATTCTTGAAGCAACTTAAGCACGTTCACCTCTAATACGACGAGCCAACTGAATATCTTTTGGCATAATGGTTACTCGTTTTGCGTGAATAGCACACAAATTGGTATCTTCGAAGAGACCGACCAAATAAGCTTCAGATGCTTCCTAAAATATTTCAAGATTACGTATATTAAAAATATTATCAAATATGATTTAGTAGCATAATGGTTTTTACCTGTAAAGCTCCAATGGCGGCAGATTGAAAACGAAGATCTGTTTTGAAATCCTGTGCAATTTCACGTACTAACCGTTGGAAAGGTAATTTTCTGATGAGCAATTCTGTCGATTTTTGATAACGACGAATTTCTCGAAGAGCCACAGTACCGGGACGGTAACGATGTGGTTTCTTTACACCTCCTGTTGATGGTGCCGATTTACGAGCTGCTTTTGTAGCCAATTGTTTGCGTGGAGCTTTACCTCCAGTGGATTTACGAGCTGTCTGCTTGGTACGTGCCATTATTTAATCTATTGTAAAATTGAAAAATCAAAATTATGAGTTATCCTTTTTCATATTATGAGTCGAAATTTACTGATAAGAAATCCTTTTATTTAGTTAAAACTAATATATGAATATAAATTAATCGTCTACACTCACATTTATTTTCGTGGAACAATTTAGTCATACTAAAAATTCCGATATTCTAATATGTAATAATGTAAAAAAAAAATAAAATTCCGAACTTCACTTCTCTGATAGTTTAAACTTACTTTCAAAGAGAAATCAATTAAATAAAATCTGTTGGGGTGTACAAGGCCCCAATGTGAGTATTCAAGGTTACGTTTACTAACAAATGAACAGGAAATTGACTGATTTAAACTGATAGGTGTTATATTACCATTTTTCCCGAATACCAAAATCGAATTACATATGTAGTAGGGTTCCTGATTTTAGCGCGTTTTTTGCAAGAGTTGGAATTGGCAAAAAATCATTTGTTGATTTTATCAGTTAATTGGTAATAAATAGGTATTTATGAATATATTACAAATGGGTACATATTGTAGAACCCTTAAAAATATTGGACAATTTTTCCAAATATGCATTTGGAATATTTATTCATATGTGTACATTAGTAATTTAAAAATTTTTTAAATACCGTAAAGAGACATTTCAAAACATGAATGTAGTTATATTACAATATCATGTGTTTTTAGAATAACATCTGTAAAATGGAAAGGGAATTCTTAAAACAAAATATGTATATATGTATGTACATATGTACATATTTTGTTAACTATTTTTCATTCCATCTTTGAAATTTTTCAATTCCCGCGCAATTTATTTTCTATTACAAAATTAAATCTAATAAGACTTTGCGCCAAAATTTTTTTTTTATTTACAATTTTTACCTGAGAAAAAATTGCATTGTATTATATAGCGGACAAAGACTTCACACCACACTACAATACCACATTGTACTTCTATGCTTATGGTTTTACAAACACAACCAAATAAAATAGTTTATCTATGTATAAAGAAAATCAACAAACTCCTCAATCACAAATGATTAATACATTTTACACACAAACGCTGATACACATATTCTTATGTATGTATATAAATATTTTGTCTATTATTAACATACACATTCGTTCAAAAATTAAATTCTATAATTAAGGTGATTCCGCCATATTTATCATCATCGATGCTTTACTACAAGCATAAACAACAAAGTAAAATCAATCTATCAATGAAACTACTTAAAAATATTCTCCCGCACGAAATATTTTCTGTATACTAAAAGAAAACAATTGCAAGTTGTTTTTGTAAAATGTAGATACATAGAAAAGAAACAATTGAATCACTAATACGCAAATGCACAAGTTAAACTTCAAGCACATCCTTCTGACTTTTCTGTCAAGCTTCAATTTTTTTTTTATACAAAATTTGATTACCCACACTACTGTTTATTTCATAATAAATTCTTTAAAAAAACCCAATACACAAAATATAACCTAGTTCAGAACTACAAATGAACGATTGAAATTGAAAGACTAGAATTGAATCAAAGAAGTCTTAACTTTTTAGCGGAGTCTCACTTTTTCTTAATTTTTTTTTTTGTGGATAAAAGGAAAATTAAATTTTCCAAAATATTCAAAAAAAAATCTTTCTCTAATATTTTAGTTTTTGTAGTTGTAGTGCATCTATACAAATGTAAATCCATACAATAAATACATTTCTGCATTTCATAATTATTTTATTTCGAATTTCACTTGGTAGCCATATTGGTTTTTTTTTTAAGTTTTACAATGGGTAATTTTTGGATCGCGTCTTTTTCACTACTTTGTTTCTGAATTCAATATTCAAATATTTTAATTTGCATATTAAGCAAAACACCAAATCAAAAATATTAAGTAAAACAAAACAATAATTAAAGATTTGATTATAAATAATTTTGTTGTTTTTTTTACCTTAAAATTTTTTTTTTTGTTAATTAACCAATACTTTAAATAAAAATCTTCTGTCGCAGAAAGTACTTATAAACACCTTTACTATTTACGATTCCAAACACAAATGCTCAATTATTTGTATGCGTCTACTTTTTCAATTTTAAATGAAATTATAAGTATATATGTATACATTCTATGATGTTGCTGCACTGTAGGCCTCTAAAAATAAGTAGCGTTAATTTCTGATTGTTGTAGCCGCTTAGTCAACTTGACTTAAGTGCTATCTACCGGAATATAGTTTTAATAATAAAACCTTACAAATATTTTAAAAATAAGGAACCAAAATAAAAAAAATATACATGCACAATTTAATTTTGAAAATCTAAAAACAACTGCTTATCATTTTATAATCAAAATATTTGATATTTTGCTTTATAAAGTAATTTACAAAACATTTGGGCATAGTGGTTCTTGTTAATTGTTCACATTTTACATATACTTTTATGTTCCACCCTATTTATTAATTAAAAGCTACAAAAATTTGTAGTTTTCAAAAATATTGGAAAAGTAAATGCGCTTCGAAAATGTTGAAAACGTTACAACTACAAATTTTGCAGAATATTCACAATTGACTTTATAAGTTACAATCATACAATAACTTAAAATTTTAATGGTGGTTTTTTATAAGATTGACGTTCACTTCACCACAATAATACCATTCAGCCCATTAAAATTAAACCGCTTTGTTTTTTATTAAATTTGTTAACTTTTTTTTACATTATATTACACATATTTTATTATAGACCTGATAAAAAAACAAAATAAATACGCTCCTGCTGCGAGGCTGAGTTATTTTTCCAAAATGTCTTAGTGCTTCTAATTCGTTGAAATAAACATACAATTATATTTTATATTTGCTTTTTAATTAATATATATAAAAAATAAGCAAAGTATATTGATTGAAAATGTCAAATATATTTGAATAAGTTTCTAATAATTTAAATTTATTTATAACTATTGTTTTAAATAAAATGAACTGGTGATTATTTTAAAATTTCAATTTTCATTTATCTGATCTTTAATTAATAATTGCCTTTAGAAGATTTTTAAATGTAATATGAATTAGAATTAAGCATTCCAAACATTTGAAACAAACATTCGACCGCTTATTAAGACTGACCTTATTTTTGTTGTAAATTATTTGTTATATTTTATTAGCACTTATCCAAAAAAATTATGAAAAAAAGTACTTATTAGTCTAATTCGTCCGTCCGTCCGATCGTCCGTCCGTGGACATATTTACAAAACTTTTGCCCCCTTGAAGATAGATAGCTGAAATTTCATATGTACATAGATCTTCAGTAGGAACTTATTACCGTAGACCAAAATTTTTACCTATCTCTCCTCTCTAAAAGTTATAATCTCTCAAACCCCTAAAATGGCTCAAACAAATTGAGTGTTAAAATTTACCATTACCTAAAACCCGTTTTTATCGAATTTTTGATATCTTTTTTCTTTTAGACCGAAAATGTTTAGGAAATGTTTTGAAATTTTAGTCGCTTTTAGACACTAATACCTAGTTTATTTCGTTAGCAGAAATGTTTTTCTATCCCCCTCTTAAGTTATTTTCTCACGAATAAAATTTGATTTTTTGGCACCTTATATTTCCGAAAGCGTAAAAATTATTTCAAATTCCTATAAACACAGAAAACTAACGATAAATTCTATGCCACTAAAAAATATATTTCTTACCTCAAATAAATAACCCTTAAATTCGAGCATTATATGAATGTCTCTTTCAATTTTTTTGGTTTACTTAAGAAGTTTAATAAGAAGAAGAAATAAGATTGAATACATTGCTCATCCTAAAATGCAATTTTTGAAATATATTCGTTGGTTGATTGTTCTTAAAAGCAGTATTTTCACTTGTTGAAGGGAAAAGTGCTAAATTACAAATCACTGATATGACCCAACTTTTTTTTTAAACAAGATTTTATTTGCTGTTTATGTATTTCTGTATTTAAGAGTGGAAACTCATGGTTATTAACAGAATTTAAAATTTAGTAGATTTACTGCAAACTCGTAAATATAGTAAATAAAGAGCTTGAACATTTAGATATGAAAATTGACATTTGAGCAATAGTGTTGATTGTATTTTCGATTACTTGCTCTTATAATTGTATGGTGGTGGTATACGATGCATAAATTATTGTGACAGTAATATTTTGTGCATTTGCTTTCTGCATTATTGTTTATATTTGTATTATTCTTAGAAAGGAAATTTATGTAAATATTGTTTCTGATATTGAAAGTAAATACTGTTTTTAGTATGCCATTTCAGGTGACAAGGTACTAAAATTGTATATTTACATAATTTAATAATTTTATGTACGCTATTAAAACAAAAAATATATGTATAACTTTAATAGAGATCCAGTTGAGCGTTCATGTTGTGTACCAGTGTGTAAAAATCAAAAATGCAGTCTGTCGCACAGATTTCCTATTAAAGAACAGAAATGCAATGAATGGTTAGCGGCCCTGGAAATACCCAAGTTATATGAGATTCCAAAGGAAAAATTATGTCGTTCATATTTTGTATGTACAAGACACTTTCGTTACGAAGACTACAAACATCCAACTAGTCGTCATTTGAATACAACTGCAGTTCCCAGCATAAATATAAAAGATTTAAGTCAACTAAATCTCGTGGAATCTAGGTGGAAATCGGATAATAAAATTAAAAAGAATAGACAAAACATAATTTGTCAAGCTCAGTCTGATAATGTTCAAGACGCCGCGGTCATAGATTTAGTTTCAGAATATGATGTTCAAGAACCAGATGCTGCTGATGCAACAATTTATGTAGAAATTGACCAAGAGAACGAGATAGCAGAAAACTGTTCTATTCTAAATTCAGGTTTAAAAAGAGTTTCACCTTTCCCTTTAGAGAATCAGGACACATTGCACATTGAAAATAAAAAAAGCAAAACAAACAAAGAACATGAGGAACATGATAGCTTTACATGCAGAGGTGGTGAAAATCAATTGCTTGAGCTTGAGGAAAATGAAGAAACAGATGGTAAATTAAATTAATTTTAATGAAATATTAATTAACCTCTTTGAATTATTCATAATTATTATTTAAAAATTAGTAAATCTTAATTACCTTTTTGGTATTTTAAAAATACCGAAAAGTAATTACATAAGTACTTTTACTTTTTGTCTCGCCTAAAACGGTTCGAGTATATTCTTATTATACCTAATATTAAGCATAATTTTCATTTTCGCTAAAATCAAATTAAATATTTAAATTTTAAGTTTATATTTTCCATTATTATCTCTTCTATAACATGCAATTATGGTTGTTGCTTAATATAAGTAAAACACACAAGTACAAATAAATTTATAATAAACCAAGTCCAGGAAATAAATCAACTAATCCCTTTCAACTAAAAAACTTAGTGCCTCGCTTAGTGCCTCGTACAAATAATTCATATTAATTGCAAAATAAATAAAAATATATAATAACTATGTCGTGATTAAATTTCTTTGCGAAAGAATGTCAAATTTAGTGTGTATGATCAATAGACAGCCATTTAGATCAATAGACAGTTTGCCAGTAGTGTCAAAGCAGGGCTCGTGCGACACTCAATATACAAAATTCTAGAAAATTTATAAATTAAAATAATTTCCAATTCTGCAAATAAAAACCTCGTTTGTTAATTTTTTTAAATTGAGATCATCAATAAAAATTTTTGAATTTTCTATAATCTAGTATACAAGCTTTTGATTAAATCTTTATTCTGTTGGTAATTAATCTTAAGTATAGTTTAAAAAAATAAGTAATACATATTAAAAAAACAACAATGAAGAATAAAATATCATTCTACTCTAAAATACACTTTAATACTATTAAAATATTTTTAGTATCAAGTGTTTTTTACAGTATTGGAGGAGAACAATGATCAATGAACAATGGGAAGAAATAATTTTGTCTATAATGAAATAATGCAATGTACTATACATTATGATTATAATACACATATTAAATTTAGATTATTTGTAGCGGTATAATTATTTGTTTATTTTACATACAGGATGTTTCATAAAGATCCCTTTTAGTTCTTCCGAAAAACCTAATATTTTTAACGTAAAGAGAATAAACAAAAGCAAACATGAACAAGTAAAAATTTTGTGTTTTCTTCTTTTTTTATTCGTGTTCCCTGAAACCGTTAAGATATGATCTAGTTCCAACATGGTTTGTTATTTAAATTACTAAATGATATATGTATGTAATACATTAAAGCATTATAAATGAATCACTCTGTAGATACTTTCTATATATGAGTAAGGACCAATTTTAAGACCCGAACCTACAATTTCAATCAGAACATTAAATAGAAATTAAATATGAATTACAGATTTAGTTTTCTTTATAAATAGAGAATGTTGGACGAAATTTCCGAACATTTTAATATTCTAAAAATAAAACGTATTTTAAATTCTTCATATTATCAGAATATAATTTACACATGCTTATTTTGAATTGCTAAAAAGTTCTAGTGCGTACTAAAGTAGGAATCGTATAATTAGAACATAATTGTACGCAAAAAAAAAATATTTTCAAAAAAGCCAGGCATCAGCAACGAATGAACCACGAACTAATTATGTCCGTTAGTTAATTCAATTTATGCAATTTTTTTACCATCGAAATCGATGGTAGGTTGCCAAAACCTGAACAAAATTTTAAAGTTATTTGCAATTAACTCTCAATTCATTCATTGAAAAATTTTAAATTTGAGTTTACATCTTGTTTTTGCGATAAGAGATCTGTAAGAATTGTATTTCTGTAAGAAACGCGGATTCTCGAATATTTTTAATGATTTCAAACTTTTAGATTATAAGGAAAATAAAATACAGCAATTATTTTGCTTCTTTTATATTATTCGCCTGATAAGGAAATCTCAACAAAAAAACATCGATTATTTACATATGCTTCGAAATTTTTATTTTATTTTAGTCTTCTCATCATTAACTATTGAATTCTAAATAAATTTTATACTTTTTTATATTTTACAATGGTGAAAATAAAAGTTAAGGATGTTAGCTCTATATTAACAATAAATCATCCTAATTATGAAGAAGAAATTGACATAAATTTATTTTGGCTGCGAGATCACTGCAAATGCAATTTGTGTTATAATCATGAGATGTATCAAAGGAAAACAAATATTTTGGATATTCCACTAGATATAAGTGTTCTGCAGACTGGAATCAAAGACGAAAAATTAATTATTAAATGTAAGTTATTTTTTTAATGAAATATTACAAAAAATGGAGAAACTGGAAAAGGAATTTTTTTTTTTAAGGGGAAGATGAACATGAATCAGAATACGATTTAGATTTTCTATATAAAAATCAATTTAAAAAGCAACCTTTATTAAAGTTTACTGAATATTTTTTGTGGGATAAAACAAATATCACTAATGATGGCAGTAATAAATTTATAGAAGTAGACTTTGGTCATTTTCTTAGTAACGAAAAACAAGCTGTAGCAGTTGTGGAAAGCCTCGTTAAATTTGGTATTGCTTTTATTAAAAATGTGCCCCCTACAACAGACATGACAGAACTATCAATAAAACGGTAAGTTTTTATTTTTTTGAATCTTTTTCTTTTCCAAAATTCAATTAATGATAAAAAGAACTGGATGATTTCTCTATGATATTATGTAGTTTATAAACTATTTTATAAATTAATTTCCCGATTTTTATAAATTTGTTAAGGACTAAAATTAAGATTGTTCTTGCATAGGAATATTACAGCCTACCTAACACATAAATACTTAACACGTTTTAAAATTAAATCCAGTAATACTTTTGCACCGCCATGTAGCACGACAATATAGCAAACTTCTTAATTCAAATATAGCTAATTAAGCTAGTTCTGTTTAAATTTTGAAAAAAAAAATAATTTTTCGGTGATAAGACATGAATGTCTTATAGGTAGGTGTTATCTAGAGTATTTTCAGAAAAAAAAATAATTTTTTCAACTTTTGACTTTTGAAATATTTTGTACATGTTTAAATAAAAAGTAATTTTAAACATTAATATTTGAGGTTGTACTAAATGTTCATAATTTTTACCAAACATAATTTGAGAGATTAGTATAAATTTTTAGCAAAAGTGATGTCAAATTTTTTTTTATCTTAATAAATTAACACTTATCCTGTATTTTTTTAACGTGATCTTACGTTTACTGATAATCCAGATGTTGGGTCATGAGTTAAACATAACTTTAGATTGATGACAATTAATCTGTTAATATGATTTAACATAATTCAGGAAAAGAATACCAAACACCAATTTTTCCAATCCATATATCAATTTTTATATACATATGTATATTCATATATATGTAACAGTTTTACTAATTCATAAAAATGAACAGAAATGGAAAAATATAAACAACCGTATTCAACAGAATTTCCTTTATAATGTAACTTATATGGTCAGTCATGTATGTACATATATATGTAACTTAAGTAGAGAATTGAGCGCAGTCCAATACGTCAGTTAGTATAAAATTGAAAAAACTGAATTTATAGATATAATACATTACGTCCTTGATATCGATATAGGAAAATTTCATTATAAAAATTGTCTTTTAAAGCGCGGCTATGATCAAAGTAAATTTACGGTCATACTTGTATAAAACAAACAAAGGATCAGTTACATTAACATAGTCACATATTATAAATAATCATTTATTTTAAATTAGTTTTTTTTTAAAACTAAATTAGTTTTATTCATTATACTAAATATATTATTTTGCTTATTAATCTTTCTTTTTTTTAAGATTGTTTCCAATTCAAAAAACATTATTCGGTGAAATGTGGACATTTACAAGTAATAAAAATAGGGCTGATACAGCTTATACAACTGAATATTTAGGACCCCATACCGATAATACCTATTTTTCCGATGCAGCTGGTTTACAAATATTTCATTGCATTGAATTTGAAGGCAGTGGCGGCGACTCAATTTTCGTCGATGGATTTAATGCTATTGAAAAATTAGGAAATGAAGATCCTGAAGCTTTAAAAATATTATCAACAATTAATGTACCTGCAGAGTATATCGATAAAGGCCAACATCATAAGTATTCCGCTCCAATAATTCAATTAGATCCAATTACTTTACAACCCAAGCAAATACGCTTTAATTTATATGATCGCAGTGATTTCAATGAAATCGAATTAAGTAAAATTAAACCGTTTTATAAGAGCTTAAAAAAATTAGCACAAATCGTTAATGATGAAAAAAATATTCTCACATATAAATTGGATCCTGGTACTATTGTGTTATTCAATAATTGGAGAATTTTACATGGAAGAAAAGAGTTTTCCGGTTTACGTGTTATGACTGGTTGCTATGTTTCTAGAACAGATTTTATGAGTAAAGCTAGAACTCTAGGTTTGGTTGCGTAAAAAAAACTTATGAGATTTGTTGCGCTAAACATTGTAATATATGAAAAATTTTAATTATTTTTTTTTGTTTTGGAACGTTATGTACTTCTGTGTATTCTTTTTTAATCTTCTAAAAAAATGTTACCATAATTACACAAAAACCATAATTAAAATATAAATTTTTTATGTATTTGGATTAACTTTTAAAACGTAATTTTTATTATCGTATTTTTATTATATTTTTTTAATCAAATATAATTTTTTCATCGAAAATCTAATGAAAGAATATTGGCACAAAAAAAAACTATCCCTCTGATAAACTCTGATTTTTTTTATCTTTTCCTTTTCAGTCCCCTCTTTTAATTATTTTTCAAACAGAATTCTAGTTTAGTTAATGAAAATCTCGTAATGGTGTACATCATTTACTTAATGATTACTCAGTTTTTCTCAAAATAACAGTATATAAACATTTTATATTGGCTGACTATTAACTTGTCAGCCTTAGAAGCAAAGTTACTGGTTTGTGAATGAATTTTGTACATTTTTTGAAGAAAAAAAAAACGAAATTTGCAATTCAAAACATAATTGTATTATGTTTTATGAAACTCACTTAGTTTTTGCTCACCCAGAGAGTTAAAGGGACAAAAACAACCAGACTGCTTATGCATTATTTTCAAAATTAATGGTAATGCTTCAAAATTTAAGAAAAAAAATTGAACTGGTGCAGATTTCGGAAATAACTTTTGTTAATATAATATTTTTAAGCAACAAATTTAAATACCATGTCTGAAATCTCCAAATTAAAAATGTTGGTATAAAAATGTCATACGCATGTCTTCCTCAAATTCTGTTATAGCTTCTGTTCTTTCTATTTCATAAATTCAACATTTATTCCTTTAAATTTTTGATTAATACTTTGTTTCAGTTTAAGGATATACCTTAGAATAGCAATTACTAAATATTATATCATTATAATTGGAATTTAAATACTTGTTACAATATTTGAAACACAACTAAAAAATTTTTAAGAAATAGATCGAAACTTAATTTTCGTACGCTTTTATTTTTATTTTAAGTCCAATTGTTTCTTTGTCTTCAATTCTTATCATTAATAGCTGAAATGTGTTTATTAAAAGAGTCAGTAGATTGATTTATATTAAAATTTATTTATTTCAATTTTTTTTTATAATGTAATTTTATAATAAGAATTTTTGTTTTAAAGTAATATTTTAGTATATTTTTTAACTAGTGAACTGGGTTTTAACAATACTGTTCTGATTTTTTCTTTTAAATTTCTAAGTATATTTTTTATTATGAAATTAAATTAAATACAATATTATTGAATAAAATATTGATACAACCTTTTTAATACAAAAACTAAATACAAAATATATTTTCAAACAAGTAAAAAATAAATTTAAAATTAATCCATTTTAATATTAACCTGTGGGAATATTTATTTTGATGGGAAATTAACACATTTTTGGCACCCTGCGAGATTGAATTATGTAAAAAATTTCTGTAATTATGCATTTGATAAAACAGAATAGGTAAAATAAAATGTTTATCTAGACGTGTTCGCAGCAAAAGTTATTTTTTATTCTTTTATTGGATGCCATCAATAATTACTCTTAGTTTTTTTGTTTTGTTTTTTAAATGAACAATGATGGCTTCTTATTTTGCAACGTTCAGTTAAACAATTCAACATAATTTAATCAGATAAAATAAATGAATAAGCAAGACTTATTTAAGTTTTGTTAATTTTAATTATTTTATGGTGTAAAATATTTATTAATAATAGTTGCATTGTTTTACATATTGCAAAATTTTCATTTTTTTTTTTGCTTGTTATTTTAATAAATTTGCTTTTTAAGGGACGGTACTTTTTGCATATAATTGAAATACACACTACAAAAATTACTTTGATTAATACAATTACAATAATTGAAATTATTACGATTTATATAAAATAATTTTTCTAATTTATGTAAATGTAAGCAGAAAATTTTGAATTGCTATGATTTAAATCAGATTAAGTTTTATATAAAAAGAAAAAATACATAACTATTGTTTTTTTATAATTTTCCTTTAATTTGATTAAAATATTTAGCTGCGCCGTTTTTCATTACCTATAGTAAACATAAAATTTTGAAATTAATAATATATTTTAAAACAATGTTTGCTCAAACATAGTAATGTAAAAAATTAATATTTCACCTGAATTTTTAAAAATCTGCGATTGTGTTTATGTCACAAATAATGAAATTGTGTAAAATATGATAATACACACACATATGTACATAATAATTATACATTAATATATTTATGTTAAGTGTATAATTATTACTCATGTTATTAATTAATAAAATTTTGACCCTTATTCTCGAACCAAAATTCACTTTACATACATCCTTTCATAATATATATATTTTATTTTTTTTTTTATTTTTTTTTTGCTATTTTAATTTTATTTCTTAAGATGAATTCATTTTATTGTTTAAATTGTAGCATATACTCAAGTTTTCAAATAGTTTATTTAGTCATTTTAATATAAAGTACTTAGTTAATTTTAGTTAATACATTTTCGAAATTTTTTATCTAATTTAGCAATCGAAATTTATTTCGATAAATATTAGCGTTATTCTATAGTTATTATAAAACCTGCTCTTTTAAAGGCACAATTATTGTTAAAATACATTAAAAAAGCTTAAATTTTAGAAAAAAAATTTGTTAAATATTTATTTTTGTATAATATGTATTTTATCAGTTATACGGTATTTTATAACAAATTCAGATGTAAAATTATATCTAAAAAATATACGTCTGTTTTCGGAAACTTAAATTATTTAATATTATTATATACAATATGCAACTTAATAAAACTCGAAATAAAATAATAAATTAACTTTTTAAGAATGGCATTATGGTTAAAGAATAGATGCAAAAAATTTATTTATATAAATATCTTGAACTGAACAATAGAATAGTGAAAATCATTAAAAAAACATCATCAATTAAATCATTGGGTTTCAAATATTACAAAAAAGGAATAAAACAATTATGATCTTTTCATCTATTATTTAATTGTTTTCAACTTCAAATTTTTGAGTTAGCTCTTTAAGTATACAATTTTCGTGTATCGAAATGTAATAGTTTTTTAGTTTTTATTAAATGCATTTAGTGCCTGGAAACAAAATAATTACAGACTGTGAACAAAGGTAATTTAATTTAATTGAAAAATATTTTTAAGGAAATTTTTAAAGAGTTAATACATTTCAAATATTTTCTAGTGTTCATAATAAATCTAATATGTACATACATAATATATTTAAAGTGTGATATGCATAATCAAACTTTCTCACAAACGTAATTATTAAATGAATTTATAAACATAAATAGTTAATTCATTATTTTTATAATTTAATTATTTTTAAACAAAATTTTATAAAAACTAAACGAAGATTAGAAACAATCCCATATTCAGATGTTTAAATTTTATTTAAACTTCTTGAAAACGAAAACCGTAATTATATAATAATAAAACAAAGCAATGAAGAAGCAATAAAAATAATATTAAATATAATAACACTTAAACAAAATTCAAAAATATAAATTTACTAATTAAACATTATTTAATTAGAAAAACTTATAAAATAGATAACGTTTATATAACTTAAAACTTTATCAATTGATTATTTTATAACTTATGTCATATAATTTGTACCAAGGAGGTCTTTTTACTCTTTTTATAATTTTTGTGAAGAAATTTAAGAAATTTTAACTATAGACAGGCTTAAAAATTACATTAAAAATATATCAGCATAATATAAGTTTGCGTCTACAAAAAAAAAATTTACATAAAGTGATAAATTTTCGTATATGGTTTAATTTTTAACATAAAAATAAATTATAAGAAAGAATTTTTTAAAAAATTTTAAACTACAATTTATTATTCTGTTCCTATCTTTAGATTCTTACATAAATTAATGATCTCATTGAAATAAAAACTAAATCTTAGTAAACTATCTTTTGAAAATGAATATCCATATGACTAGGATGACTGAGAATAGTTCCTAATTTAATTATTACTTAGAGAATCACGATTTTTATTAACATACTCCATATAATAAAGTTTCCCCCAAGACACTATATATGTTACCTTGAAGATTGAAGCTATTTTGCTTTAATACAAAAATATTATTTGCGATTTGTGATAAAATAATTTGTTGGGGTAATATTTTACAAATATTTATTTTATAATTTACTTAGACTTATATATTTCACTTATGTTTTTTTAAATATACTACTTTTCTATTCCCATTAATATTTTGGGGAAGGATATTTCTATTATAGTACGTATTTACTAAAACAAAATATTGATTGTTGAAAAATTAATATTTGTAAGTTGAATATATTAATAATAATAATAATTGTTTGATAAATTTTCATTATTGTGTTTATTCTTAAATCTGATATTTGTGTTAAAATTGGTGAAACTTAGTCATATACCTAATTTTTTTAACCTTTGGTATCGTAATTTTTGCATAAAATACATAAATATTTATACATACATATATGTATGGTAGGAATGTCATGTTAAATATCTAATTTTTTTCCTAATTTTTTTATAATTTTAACACATTTTTGCTTTTTCATTTTGGTCACAAATTATAAAGCTTTATAACATTGAAATCAATAAAAAATAAAGTCAATTAAGGTAATATTGGATCAAATAAAATGGAACGAATTTTTCTAACTAAGGGGAATGTGGAATTCTTGCTAAGATTTTTGTTATTAAAATTACTTTTAGAACAATACTTTCCTGAAAAATCATCTGTATTTAAAGAAAAAACCATTGCACCTCCAAAATTATTGTCTAATATGTACTTTGTCTTACATTCAATACTTTCGATATTTTCAAATGAAATCCATTCTAATCCAGCATACATATAAGGTGAGCAAGTTTCTGTATCGAATTTTGTAGTAACATATATATTATTATTTTTAAACCAACATACAGCAGGATATGATGCAAAACCGCTTCGCCCAACCAAACCAAATCCTTTGGCGGGACTTTCTATTTCGTGGTTAAATGCATTTACCAACCTTAAATTGAAAATTTATTTATTTGAAAAAAAAAATAAAAGAAAAAACAGAATACCGCTTATTGTAGGTTTGCCTTACCTGTAAGAATGTCCGTAGGTGGGTAGTCCAATAATAATTTTATTTTTGTTCAAACCATTTTTGTTCCAATAATTTACAGTATAGTTAATATTTAATGTAGCCAAAATGGAACGTTCTTTATGCCGGGCATAAAGTGGAGAATTAATACCTTTAAAGTTATCGACAATATAATAGATATTGAAAAAATGATTTAAAATTAATTAATATGTAAATATTTAAAATAATAAGTAACTATGTAACTCATTTTTGAAATTTTTTAATAAAATATTAACCTGTGAACGGAGCACCTTTTGTGTAAAAATGAAAATCATATGTCATAATGTTTACGAAATCGCAATAATTTTGCAATTCTCGTATATCGTAAGCGAAATATGCAATTCCTTCAGGAGCGGCAACAGCAACACTTAATATATAAGTTCGATGTTCTCTTTGGTATTCTCGTCTAATTTCATGAAGAAGCTGAGAAAAATGTTGTTTCTCCTTATTGTAGGCGCTAGGAAACTCCCAATCAATATCAACTCCATCCAAATAATAATCATGTAATGTATATTTTAATGATTGTATGAATGTTTTACGTCTGGCATGATTTTGAACCATTTGAGCGAAACCTCTTGAATTAATACCGCCGGCCCAAACTAAAATTTTTAAATCATGGTTTCGAATTTTTAAAGCTCTTGTCTCATTAAAAATTTCTCTTATATCATCGGTGATATTTAAACGATCATTTACAACATGGACTAAGCCAACATTTATATGGGTGCATAAAAATGGATCAACATCTCTTATTTGCAAGTTATCAAATGGATCTATCGACAAAAAGCTTGGTGATGAATAATAACATACTAACTTTTTATTTTTTAAATTATCTGGATATATAAAGTTCCCCCATTTGGACAAATATATGGTTTCATCGTCAAATTTCTTAACAGTCATATTTGACTCATTTAAATAAGATGTTTGAAAATTTCGAAAATCATAATGCGCCCTTGACGAATACATTTTTTGAATGTATGAAGTATACAAGTCTATACGCTGTGATAGCCATGGTGGTAGTTCTAAAAGAATTATAGTATGTACTTCCTAATTAATTTTATAATTTTATAAATTCAAAAAATTTATATTAATCATAGAAAAAAAATAACTAATAAAATAGGTATAAACTAGTCTTTTTGTTTTAGTACTTCAAATACAAAATTTACACAAAAATAAAATGTTCAAGTATTTTTAGTGATAAATAATTAATTTGAAAAATGAGAGCAATAATATATTCTTAACATATTTAAACATACAATACAGTATACAAAATTATAAAGGTTTTAGTTCAAACGTACATATATACATAAGAACGTCACAATAATGTAAATGAAGAATATTTTGTACTTTAATTGTGAACAAAGAAAATTATATTATCATTATCATTATATTGGACAGTGCAATCGAAAAAAATATACAAATGTATGTGAGTTATTTTATTGGTTTAAGTATAACAAAATTTTCGTTCTCCAAATTTAAAACTAATTAGGAATTTCAATTAAATTTAGATAAAATTAGAAAATTTCTATAGAGAGAAGCTCTATGACATTATATTTTTTTAAGTTTTAACTTACCAAGAACTTTCGGAGGAACATTTAGAGCATCTCTGTAATTAAGGATTGTATTCCATATTGTGAAAACTGCTAATGTAGAAAAGGTGCAGATAGTAAACAAAACACATAGCCTGAACCAATTATAACTGGGTCTAGAAATATAAAAATTCATAGGCGACATTCTTGCAAACAAAAGAAAAAAAAAGTACATATATATATTTTTTTGTTAGGCGAATATTGTAGGTGTTTAGTTAAACATAAATAAGATCGACCTCCAAAATAACCTACACACCCTGATTAAATTTTATACAATTTTAATTGAAACTTACCCAGGATTATGCTGTTCTTCCAGCAGTCTATATTTCGCATTTTGTCCGCTCATTTTTTACCATATTTGAATAATTTTATTGCCACAACTTTTTAACGTCTAATACGTATAGGTACTATACATAAATTATTTGCTGATTTAAATATATTTCATCAGTTATTGAACAAATTTTGTTTGCTAATTGAGAATAAAGGGAGGATTCTTTTCTTTAAACAAAAATATTATAAACAACAATAAACGTCAAGACCCTTGTCAATTTTGTGCTATAAACACAATGCATTTTTCACGTTTGTTAACGCATACGCTTGCGATTCTGGAAAAAGTTTTTTATTTTCTTGGATTTTTGTTACTAATGTGGGGAATCTTCTTTTTTAATATAATTACCTGGGTTTATATATGTTTGTGATCATTACTGTTACTGCACTCGGTTTGACTTTAAAAGACTTGCACTTTAAGAGGTGCAAGTTTTTCTAGGGTTACTTACTTTTAATACACTTGAAAGAAAATAATATTAATAGCAACCCAGAGATTATGTAATTCTGGACACTGAAATAAAATTGGTTTTTTATTGTATAAAAAATCCGAATAAAAAATTTCAACTTTTTAAATTAAGCTTTTAACGTAAATTTTGGAAAAGAGAAAAAAAACCTATTTGCATTGGTTCTGCAAATTTTCAGATAAAACTTAATAAATTACTAAATAAAATTATTAACGAATATTTTAAAAGAATCGCAGAAGTTGTTTCTTGTGTTAGATAATATTAAAATATCACTCAATTGTAATTTTACTTCAATGATGTTTTGAAGGAAATAATGGTTCAGGGACTAATTGGGTTCAATATTCAAAACAATATTGTATACTCTCCTCTGTTTCCATCTATATCTACAGATATATTTGATTTTTTACATATTGTGTTATAATATATACATTGTGTTATAAATCTACGGAACTTTTGTGTAAATCAACGAATTAGAAATATTAAAGGAAAGAGCATCTTGAAAAATCGTCAAAACCAAATTTTTTCTAGTTTCTCTGCCTGGTGTATTGTCAAACTCGTAACAAGGACGTATTTATTTTTTTCATCGACCTTCCATTATAAAATATGTAACATGTAAAAAAGTAAAATATGTTTAGGTAAAAATAAAATATTTTAAAATATTTAATTTTTGAAAAATCTTCAATTCAAATTACAAATTTAAACAAAATTTATTAATTTTTATTTTTGAATAATTTATATTATAAATTGAAATTAAATGTATTTAAAAAAATATTGTCGCATTAAAAATTTATAATAGTTCTTGATGTTAATTTTCACATTAATTTTTGAAATTTGTTTAATTTTACAATATTAATTATATGTTTGCAATAAATTATCATTGTATATGTTACAAAGATATATTATAAACTATTTTTGCAGTGAGTTTAATCAAGTAGAAGAACAGATGCTACCGTATTCTTCCTCATTAATTATTTGAACTACACGTATTAATTTACTCTAAAGCAATATACATATTATGTATTTTTCAATAATTCAAACTAATATTTTATTTTATTTTATTTAGCGCATTGATGAAGATTAAAAATTCACTCTATAAAGGCAAATATTAACAGAACAATTCACATTTAAGAAAATATTTATTACATAAAAAATTATGTACAGCATCTGGACGTTAAATAAATTTTGGCGCTTAATTTAATATATAAAACGAATTAAATCAAAATTTTTGGAATATATAGTATAGATTACAGAACATGTGGAACTTATTGAAAAAACATTTAAACGAAAATTTCTGCACTTCGGATAAATCGAATCCGCTTTTTTTTCACTAAATCATTCGTTTGTTTACAAGTACTGACGTCGCTGACTTGTTTTACGAAAAAAAAAAAATCATTTGACATTAAAAGGTCAACAACGCTTGGTAATGAAGAAGAGATTGAAATTTTTGGCTCATTGTGTTTTTCTTTAATAACGATTTTTTAGAAAGTGAGATAAAAATAAAAATGCTCTTATCGTTGTGGTTTTTATAAAATTAACTTCCTTTAATTTACTACACTTATTAACTAAAGATACTCATGTAATGAAATTCGCATTGTTGAATAAAACGGCTTGATTTTAATTGACAGTTAATTAATCTGTACCTAATAAGTGTGAAAACAGAAGCAAAGTCGTGAACGACAACGGCGAATGATATCCGTCGTTAGCTCAGAATAAAGCCAAATGTACAGAATAGGATTTGCATAAAATGTTACCCACATGGAAAGCGATGATATGATGTCAAAAAAAAACCACCGCCGAAAAAATAGGAATATAAGCTATTTTACTGCCGGCGGTTATATTTGTGGCGATGATTTCGCTTGACGCTGAGCAGTACAATTTAAATATGTGTATTCTATAAGAATTCTGATATCGCGTAAAATCGGTCTTGTAACATAATTTTTGTTTAAGTATAATTTAAAAAATCAAACGCAATAACTCAATATAACTTGTCAAATTCGTATATATTGTGTCGTGTAGTTTTGTAGTTACGTACGTGTAATGTCATTTTTATTCCATCAATACTCACAACTCAGCAAAATGTTTGGCTGAATTTGATTTTTTTTTCGATATAATTAAAAATTTAGGAGAAGAGAAACAGAGAGAATTTAAATTCTGTATAGTATATTGTAAATGTATTTCTGATATAAAATAAATTTTTATTTCGTTAAAGGTATTGACGGAGAACGGATGTGGTGTCGCTATTACTAACTGATTTGTTTTTCTTGTTGAAGGTTGTTTTTGGAATGTCGGGCGCGGTTATATTTCACAAAATTTAATTTATTTTTTTTTAATAAATTCTTCGTGAAAAAAGTTTCTGCTGCGAAAATAACGAAATTAATCGAATTTAATTAAATTTTTTTATACAAAAAATTCAGTGTAACTTGAATTTTTTTTTATTAAAAAAGAAAATAAATGAAAAAAAGTTATTAATTTTGGTGAATTATAAAAATTGTATATATAATATTATATACATATATACAAATATATCTATCTACATTAAATATTGTGAAAGAATACCTAAAAAGAGAAATAAAGTGTATTTTTTTTTTATTTTAACAAACATAACCTGAAAAGGAAAAAATAAAGTATAAAAAAAAAGAATTAATAACGAAATTTGTGTTTGTGTTTGTAGTGAAAGAGAAAAATAGGAAAATAAGAGTGCAATAGGAATTTATGCCGAGAAAAAATTAAAAGAAATTTTTATGAATTGAAGATTTCAATTCGAAATTTAAATTAATCACTATTATAATAGTAATTCAAGGTAAAAATTTTTAAATTTATATTTTTTAATTTTCTATTTAGTTGAAACAAAGAAGGAAGTAAAAAAGTATAAATCTAGTTTTTGTGGTATTATATACCTGCTTGGATATAAAATTAAATTAGCAATAGTGACCTCTTATGTATTAGATATTTTGTACATTTTGTTAATCTACTGATTTCAAAGCCAAATAAAAATTTAGTAAGGTATATTCACCTATACTTGTCCCTATATACATATATTGTATTTATTGGAGTAAAACATTTGAAGTTATAAACAATAAAAGCGTTGCCATATTACATTTCTAATATTATTTAATATTGTTGATATTTATTTTAATTATTGAGTTGATTAATTTAGGGGTAAAAATTAAGATTCACCATGGAATACAAAAAAAAACAAATGAAAAACCAGTAATGGGTTTTTCTCAAATATTGAGCTAAAATCTTTAAATATTCTTCTGAATTTATCTTTGAGAAAATATTTAAATTTTTATAATACATGCAATAAGATTAATTTACTAAGTTTCTGGATTTTTAAATAGAAAACTGTGTAAAAGTAAAAATATTTTTATTGTAATTATATTCAATATAAATAAAAATTAATATGTATATATTCTACGTGTAAGTATGAGTATGGATATAAAGGATATAAAACGTAAAAAAAAAAGAATTGTTAAAAGGACTAGACTAGACTCTACTAGACTTTGTGTTTGCATCCACATACATATTTTAACAATCAAGGACAAAACGGGGAACAAACACATTTTGCAAACAACAAAACAGTCGCCCAATAGTTCGGAAAATATTTTTATTGCCAAAATTTTTACTACAAAAATTTAAAATATGAAAAAAAACAATGGAAATTTATATGGCAACACTTAAACAAATAACTATAATATTATAACATAATTCCCATATTTTAGTTGTCAATTCCCCAAAAGAATATGAAAAAAAGGGACAGAATTACTCTTAATTACCATCCAATTGAAAGTTTAGTAAGTAGTGAAACAAAAATAAAAACGAATACATATTCTTATATACTAACACATGAATATAAAAATTTAAGAAATAAAAACTGACAGGTGGGAATTATTTTTACTCTTTCTTTCTTTTCTGTTTGATTACGAATAAATTATACCAAAATCTAACAATTTTTAAACAAATGGAATAGTAATATTTTTTTGAACACACATGCACACATTTGTATGTGTACATATTCAAATTGATAGCTAACTATTTAAACTTCAATTAAAAACAATAACTTCTAATTTATGTTTAAGTTAAAACTTTATATACTAAATAGGTATATAAGGTTTTAATTTATATATTATTAGGTATATTTATTTGTATTATCTACATATACATACGTTCATATAACATATTTATATTTTTAACTTCATTCCCAATATAATATCTTATAAATAATATAAATTCAGTGATGACGTTATCAGAATGCTATAAAATTCAAATTTGTAAGTTTTAATAAGAGCGTAAGAATTCAAAATAGAGAAGAGGGAAAAGATTTAAAACTGAGAAAGACAATGGCTTGGTGTGGTTTCAGGTTTGGTGTTGTTTTGTAGTTGTGTTGTGTGGCAAAAAAAAGAAAGAGAAATGACGTCATTTTTCAGCACATTTTTCTTTTTACTAAAGTCGAGTAAAAAAGAAAACAATTTGTAATAACGCCAATTATTGCCAATCTTATTCGCCAACATTTTTTAATTTTCAAGATTTGTTAAGTTCAACAATAATTTTGTTTTAAACTTGCACAATATGTGAGATAATTTTTTTCATGTTTTTCATATACATAAATATTTTTGATAACTCAATTGCTATGTACCTACCTGCTCTGAAACATTTTTTAATAATTATTTAGTACTTACGTATGTACAAATGTATGTATGTG